GTATATACTCGCGTATGTCCTATAAGGTGACACGTGTATAAGACGACCCCAGAGTTTTAGAAGATTTTTGGTTGATATTTGTGTGTCTGGCGTATAAGACGACTCCCTGTTTCATGGTCGGAAATTCAAGGGTAATCTTCCGACTTTGAAAATGGTGAGTACACTAAAAGTTAATTTTTTTCATTTAATAGGTTGTACACTGAAATGCATTCATTGATGTTACAGTATAGGACCTAAGCCTTCCACAACCAGTGCAAGGCATGTCTTCAAACCCACCCTTGAAGTACATTTCTAGATTATTATTTACACTGTATGTACGCTGAGTTTGGGCTTCTTATGAGTTTCATTCCCATTTAGTAATTGAAAATTACAGGATAAAAACAGCACCTACAGGTACAAGACGCAATGGAGAGGACCCCAAGGATCTAAAGGCGACAGCCTGAACTGGATAGTCAAACATTAGGCATAGGCTTATAGTGTGACAGGTGACAATGGGACGTGTATTCATTACTAATATCAAGGAAATATAGGCCTAGCAATTTTACATAGGCCTACAACACAGAGATATATTCCCCAACTAGGATTCGAACCCGAGACCCTCTGCTGCCTATGCAGACTCCCTTGACAAACTGTATGTGCCATTCAGATTTGAAGCAACTGAAGCACGGTTCTTTCTCGATGAACTGTAAATTACAGAGATCAAAGTGATACGCAATCATTAGTATTTTAAACAAGGCGAAATCTCCAATAGCATATTTTTTTTAAATGGTACATAATATATAAACTCGACATTTAAAAAATCTAATTTAGACATTTTTGTACCTATTATATTATGCTGTGTCGATATACCTATACACGTATTAACCTACCTATGTGTATATTTTACATGATCTAATAAAACCTAAAAAGAAAGAGATCGAAGTCGTTTTTCGATTGAAATATAATAGTTTATGTTTTTATCCTTTAGATATTATTTTAATATTATTATTATTATTATTAATATTGTTATAATTATTATTATCATCATCAGACCTAATAGGCCTATTGTTGTAATTATTGATAAGTACGGTATTGACTTATTATACTCCTTTTAGCTGTAAGTGTTTAATATTTTGTTTTGTATATTTATTTTATATCCATAATATATCAGGATCATAAAATAATATTATGTTTCCAGTTTGTACTAAACTATGCATATATAAAAAATTTTATTTCTTTTTAAACTTTACACAGCAGCCAGAGGAAAGATGGGCGCATTATCTTTTTGTAGTAAGTGATGTTCAAGTACTTGTGTCGTGAAGATTGACAGAAGAAGAATAATAACGCAACATGCATAGAACTGCAGTATCTCTGGGAAGTTATCTACGACTTTTTATTTGCGTAGTGTGCCTTGCGTTTATGCATGCTTTTGTTGGCGTCGTCTTCCAAGGCACTCCCAATGATGTATCGTCGTTGCTAATGGTACAAAACGTTGATGAAACTCGTTACATTTACGGAAGTTTAAATGCACAAACCATAGATGATGGGAGAGTGGAACAACATGTAAAAACATTTAGTTTGCATGCTTTTCTACGAAATTTAAGTTACATTGCACCATTGGTTAATTGTGGGGGACGTAAACATAAAGTAGTGGTGTTAATAAATTCCGCCCGTGCTAACATAGAACGTCGTAGAGCTATCCGTGAAAGTTGGGCAAATCAGTATGTACTTTCTGATCATCGGGTGTGTTTGGTGTTTGCCATTGGAATTCATATACCTGCCGATCCACTACTGACAGTGAACATCGAACGAGAAAAGGCCTCAGAACGCGATATATTAGAAGGCAATTTTGTGGATCATACTCACAATAACACATTAAAATCTTTAACAGGTTTTACGTGGGTATCGTCTTCTTGCAGTGATGTGCCTTACACTCTACTTGCAGAGGATAATATGTTTATTAATTTTGAGGTGTTAATGAACACAGTTTTATTTAATTTAGTATACTATCCAAAGAGTTTCTGGATGGGTCATTTGGAACTAAAGAGAAAAGTGACGAGAAGACAAGATTCCATTAACTACATTTCATATAATACATACTCAGAGGCCGCACTTCCTCCATTGTGCTCCAAAGAGGCTGGTTTTCTTCTTTCTTCTCAAGCCATATTGCAGGTGCTCGAAACTGCCGCCAACGCTTCCCTAATTCCACGCATTGATCACTTCTTAGCAGTAACTCTACACAAATATAATTCTGGACGAATGAAAATAGTACATAACAAGGTTTTCTCAACGAGTATAGCTGATGTCTGCGCCTTGAGAAATCTAGCAACGATCCCAGGAATGTTCTCCGTAAGTAGCCATGGAATACATTGGAAAAATTTATCCAGTATTTCGTTTCTGAAAACGTGTGACGACCCAGATCTCGATTTAGTGCTACATAGTAAAGTTTCAAACGACGAGTATTTTGGAAAGACTTTAAAGTTCATCCATTCAAATGAAGATGCATGCGCAGACATTGACAACGATTCTGAAGAGTCATTTTTGGTAGCACTTATTAGCACGTTACCATGGAATCATCAACGACGCAATGCAATTAGACGCACCTGGGGTGCGAGTCGAAAGATAGACAATATTAATATAAGGGTTTTATTTGTAACCGGTGTTACACAGAAGGACAATCAATTGTATAATACAATCCTAGTGAATGAAATGTATGAATTCAATGACATTATCCAGGCTAACTTTATAGAATCTTTTCACAACCTTACGTTAAAGGTCTCACTTGGGCTCAAATGGATGACATTGTACTGCAACCATGCTCAATTTCTATATAAAGGTGATGACGATATGTTCGTTAATTTCGAACGTATTGTCAAATTTCTACAACAGAGATTAATTCCTCGGCCATTTTATTTAGGTCAGGTCATGCACAGAAGCAGGACTATCCGTAGGCCGACGTCCAAATATTTCATACCAGTAAACGTATATTCTGGAAAGTACCTCCCGCCGTATTGCAGCGGTGGTGGGTATATTATCTCCACGGACGTTATCCCTGCCATGTATAGAGCTGCTCTAAAAACACCATTATTACCGATTGATGACGCGTTTCAAGGAATAGTGGCCAAGAAAACCAGGGTGAGCCCAACCATGATTGACCAGTTCAAAAACTATGGCGGCCCAAGTGACCACTGCGCCTTAAGTTCGTCTATGACGGTCCATGGGTTTGAAACTGCAGACCAGCTGATGAAAGTGTGGAGTAACTATACAGATACAACAACATTGTCATGCCCCGAGGATAATTAACATTATCACATGTTCAATTATAATATATCTTAAAATAATTAATCTACTGAATAATAATCGACCCTCGCTGCTGTCGTAAAAGCGACGCACGTGACGTAGATTTTCGTTCGAAAGCGTCGTAAAAACTTATAGCGTTAATATATTGAGTAAACGTCAAGGCGCATAATTCATAGGCCTAAACCTTAACATTCAAATTACTATAGGCCTATTTAAAATACAAATTATGAAAATTTATTTAGTCTGCAATACCAACTTTCTTTGTGCAGATGGAGGACACGAAGCAGCTTCATTTATTTTGTAGATGATGTTCTTGGTCAAATGCCTGATGGGTTATTGTCAATCTACTGCACGGTATGCCTATTTTTGTAAAATATTAAACTTTATAATGACAATCGTTTCGTGTCCGCTTTTATAATCATTCTGCTACTGTTTTTGTTTTTATCTCATCTACTATATAACTATCCTTGCAATGTATTGAGATTTACATGATCATATTTGATATTTTGGTCATCTGTTATGGGCTCCAGTCTATTTATTCACTGTCAATATTTCAATTTCTTTTAGATATATTTTTTTCACTTCAGTATTCAGATTCTTTAACAATATGAAGTAAAATATAACACTGGGGAGACCTGATTGGGTGACTCCCTACACAGTTTAAAGCCATCAAAAGGGTAACAGCACAGTTTTAACCTAAGCATTGGTTACAATTGCTGGACACACACACGTTAAGCGACTCCTGCAGATTGAGTTTTGAATTTTTAAAATTCTTTAGTGAATGTTCCAATAGCATAATTCTGTTGACAGTAGAGCATACTCGCGTCCTGAAAAAATAAAATTCTTACTATGGTATGCACTGTACTGCTCCCGATAGTAGTATGGAGCTGTCGATTGCACGACGACGGTAGGACGTACAACGTAATGAAGTCACTAAAAGTCATCTGCGCATGCGAGAACGTTAAGGTCACCTCGTAGAGCAGATTCTGGAACGCAATTTGGCCAAACCTACGTATGCAGAGAACGTAGGACGCCTGTAGGACGGTCACGTATGAGCATGGAGGTATTATTGAGAAGGAGATCACTCGGCAACAGATCCCTTTGACGCGACAAACCTATGTGTTCCCATAGAGCTATTAAACAACTAGAGCGCTAACAAGATGGCGCAGCAATGCAGAGTTATGTATGTGTACCATCCAAGATGGCCGTCGTAGTAAAGCGCCACCTTCAGGCTTAGTATACATATTATTACATATTAATAAGCCCTCTGACTGACTATTATTTCATTAATGATAATGAGTAATGATAATAACAAATTATCAAACTATTGTAGCCAAAACGAGGCCAAGTGGAGCATCTTATTAAAAAATAAAATAGCAAGGAATGAAAATTAAAATCGTTTACATTACACCCAAACACCGCGACGCTCGAGTTTCAAACATACGGATAACTAGCCTGGGTTCCAGGCCCTAATTTTAGGTTACCGCGCCATACCTAATTTAATTGGCGTCCCATACTCGATTTTTTTTTTTTTATTCCGTCTATCTCTAAATTAACTTTCTCGTTGGTGGCGCTGTCCAGAATGAGAAAAATAATTAAAAAAATAAGAGACTTGTGGCAAGTCTAACGGATAACTAGCTGTACCCATGTCTGTACAGAACTTTCTGAGTAAATTGAGGGCGCAATTGCAAACGATGGTGCTTAGGCGAAATTTGATTGGCTAAATCTTTGACAGCCATCTTGGATGGTACACACACACAGCTCTGCGTATTTCGAACATCGGATACATTGCGGTAAGCGCTCTAGTATTATTATTATCTCTATGGAGTAGTCATATTATGAAGGTACCATATCCCCCGACAGTTGGCTATACAGCAATGTACCCTTTGAATACAAATTGAAGACAAGGAAGATATAAAGGCAGTCGACTGTCGGGTACATAACGACTATCTAACTTTCACAAAACATTAGGCCTAAGCTTCAAGCTAGGCCTAGTTCGTCAGTACAATAGTTACTGCGATGCGAGGGTGGTAGATCGTTCAGTCAGTGATATCGTGTTATCGTCTAATACAA